GACCATCAAATGGGACCCGTCCTCGGCATCTACACTGTTCAACGGGACTATTCATTCTTCAAAGCACAGTTTGGACTGGCTTGAATGCTAGGAACCGGCCTTAAATCATGCTTCTCAGCTCTCACGACCAACTTACCATTTTCCAATGGAGTAAATACCACCTATGTTTGTCTTTATCTAGCCATAATTTATTACTCACTCCAGGCTAATATCTAATAAGCAAAGGCGACCTTCCTACTGTCAAGGCTTTGTTGTCTACACGTTTTCTTAGTTAGAATAGAGAGTCTTAATCAAAAGGTTGCATGGAACATGGCAGCGTCATAATCACCAAAGAGCTGGGTTATGCTTGGGGCAAAAACACACCCCAATAGTACATCTTGTAAATATCTAACCAAGTACTAAATTTTTGTTTAATTTATTCTTAGGTTTGTTCGTTTTTAGGTAAGTTATTTATTTGAGTAAATATCTCTTTTTTTGATATTTTTTAAAGGGTTATACAATGGAGTAGCCCATTCTCCAACTCAGATGCAGGTGGAACTTGATTCCAAGTTTTTGCTACGACCAGCAGAAAACCTTACCAACTAGCTAGTAAATATATTTATCCTGATAAGTATTTTTCAGGTAACATTTGTATAAGTAATTGCATTCTGATAAGTATTTCTCAAGTCTTTGTTACTACCATTTTTTATCCTTGTACCTTTTTGTTTTCAAAGCTTGTTTATTGAACAATTTTGTCTCATTAGTTTTAATATTTTCCTTCCATTCATTTGGTGGTCCATGTGAAGGAAAATTGTTTTACCGTGGGATCCACATTTATTGAAACCCTAACATAAAAAAGCGGGTCAACTTTTTCATTGACCAATTCCTCAAAACTTATTGAAGGGGGGTGTTTTCAAATATATGATTTTGTTTTCAAATTAGCAAACACCCTAAAATAAGTTTCTTTAACATGCTTACAGTAAAAATAAATAGCTTCTTTTGGGCTAATACTCAATAAGTCTCGGGAGTCTGTTGCCTTCCCTCAAAATAAATAGCTTCTTTTGGGCAAAAGGTCATATCAAACCCTAAACGGCTAAACCCCCTTGAAGCACCTTCATCTTTGGTTGATGATTGCGACGTGTAAAAGAACTTATTGAGTGATAATTAAGACAACCCATGATGCAATAACTAGTACACGTTGATGCAACAATGAGTTTACATATATTATCACGAGGAGAATAATCAGTTAATGTTGATATACTTCAATCATTTATTACCTAAAAAAACTAGCTATCTACTTAGCTAGGAATCCTCAATAAGCAAATAAGAGCTGCTCATGAGGCTCAATGGCTGGAATAAAAAGCCTATCCCTAGACGAGCCATTTGGGCTGTAGTTTCTGCCCTAGAAGGCTAGAACCAAGAAGCCTGGGAATCAAACTTGTCAAAGATTAAAAAAAAATGACAACACATGCGTTAGTGTGTCTCGAGCAATGAGTCAGTCACTATCTTACTAAAACATCGCTACCCTAATGACCTCATAACTTTTCAATGCAGAGAGAGAGAGAGAGAGAGAGAGAGGGAGAGCGCCATGGTACAATTTTACATGAAGAGAAGAAAAAACAAACTGCCACACATACACCATTTATTCAACTTTATGATCCATGAAAGAAAAAATTAACTATTAGCCTATCACCCAGAATTTGGAATTTCGAAGAGAGGAAAAGGGGGTTTTAGAAGGAATCAGTGTTTAATGGCTATAGTAAGCAAGCACGGGAGGACAAAGCATGATCATTAGCTAGGCCTATGCACATAAGCTGCATGGGTATGGTCGCCTTCAAAACTCTAAAGTGTTTGCTTTAAACAAACCATTCCTGGCCCAGCTCCCACAGTCTGCTTACGTCAAACCAAAGCATGCTTTGCTTTCTTCTTCCTTTCTGTGTGAGCCATTCGAGGTCAATTTAATATAATATCAGAGTGAGTGAGACTGGGTAGATATATAAATTGCCAAATTAAGGATAGACTTAGACATGGGAACACATACATTCTCCTGGTCTAAGGTTTAGATTAGATTAGATCACTCGATGTATATAGAAAATTAGAAAAAAAGTTGATTATCAGGGAACAATAGATAGAGACAAAACCTCATTTGCTTATTTAATTTAGGGTAACACATCAAAAATACAGTTTCCTTGTATTAATGAGTCTGCTTACGTCAATCCAAAGCATGCTTTCTTTTTTACTCAAAAACCGAGAATGTCAAGGTCTCTCTCAAGTTGGGACAAAAAGACATACATATATTAGTATATATATATTTGCTTGACAAAGAAAACTAGAATTATACCCATTCTCAAGATTAGGGTGTTGGGCGGAGTACAATAAAGGGTGGAAAAGCCCATTTGTGGGCCCACACATATGACACAATAATATAATGCTTGATGTTTTCCTCAATCCATCATTTCTTGAAGAAATTAAGTAATCATGTAAACTGATAGGGTTTCAATGAGTCTCCAGGTTGAATTTGTTATTGTGTCAGTTCATATTTAAAAAAGGCCCACTAAGTCTCGACTCTTTGGTTGCAAGCAACTCAAGAGCATGTATGTCTAGGGTTTGATTTATCAAATGGATTCTACTGGAAAAATTGCATGCCCTTAGAGAAACCACTCCCGTAAAGAAGGAGAGGGAATTATGTCTGTTGAGTATAACGGGGAAAGGTTCTACCTTTGGTTATAGCACGTGGACTGCTACACTTTCAGATATCACCAACAATTTTTATTGATTGGAAGTAAAAATAGAATAAATAATATTGAGTATGTTAATCAAGTAGAAGATTAATTAACTTTTGAACCTATAAATATTCAAATGTATGTATGAATATATTTTTCTGATATGAGGTGTTTATGCATTAAAAAGCACTAATATATAAATAGGGAATATATGTATCAGAAAATGATCCATTAATTTAATAATTTTATCGTGTAATGATGGTATATACAAGATAAAGGGGAAATAAAATCAGATGTGATAAAATTAACAAGGGGTTATTAATTTGGACATGCTTTTTGTACTTTTGCAAACTCAAGTACAACATCAAAATAACTAGCACAAAAAAAAAGGAAGAATAATGGTTCAGTCCAATGTCAGAATTCTTAGGCCCAACTAGCAGTTAGGGTAGGTGCCAGCTCGGAATTAATGTTAATTTATGGGCGGCTATTGATGTATAGAATGGGGGTATTTGACATTTTGAATTTTTGTAAGTCTACAGTAGAATTCAGAATTCTGCATTAAGATGCAGCGTATTTCTCCGCAAAAAAATACTTATTTTACAAGTAACATTTCTTTTTTTTTTCTTTTTTGTTTTTCCCCCTTTTTACTTCTGTAATTCACAAAAGGACAATACTTAGGTTAGGAAGCCCCTAATCCCATTTTTTAAGTTTTCCCTCTTTCCTGGACCAGAATTTTTCGATCCCTATACTCTCAGCTGATCAGAAAGTAATTTTTATGAGAAGCTGTGTAAATTATTCATCAAGTCATTCTTTTTTGGCTACCGGCTTAGCACAAAGCACGTTCAGGAAACATACATAGTGAAGAAATTAATCTCCAAGGAAGGAAAAAAATAGGGAAATGAAAGAAAAGGCAAGGAAACTTTCACAAACTTTATATGGGTTTTCATATATTTCCCTTCCTTTCTTTACCTTTTTCCTCAAACCAAACACAGACTAAGGCTTAATTTTCCTACTAATTTGTATAAGCACCAATATATTAATTTTTAAGAGGTATTGGTAAAAAATGCAACAGTGAAGGAATACTTGGATGCAGGGCTCTCATGTCATAATTCAGACAAGCAAAGAGTCCTGCCCATTCAGGCATACTTTTTCACAAGAAAGGAAAAAGTCTTGTACCAACTTAGATCTAAATGGCTTTCATATTTTACCAAAAGAAGAACTAGATCTGGCCAGATGGCCAAACAAAATTCAAAAATTAATCCACAAAAAATGATAATAATATCTGGACAATTTTTAGTGGGTCAATTGAATGGGCATTCTGAATATATGAGTACTTACTATGACATTAATTCAATCTAGCTAATTACTAATCAGTTTCAGGTACCCTCTCTCATTCAAACTTCATATTTACTGCATGCCTGACTCAATAATACATCTACCAATGCAATATGGTTGGTACCTGCTGTGACTTATATGCTTATAAGCCAGTAATATATATAACTAGTTGGATCAGTTATTAATTAAAAAGTTGAAACTTCTACATATGAATTAGCTGGCACCTTGAAAGTTCAAACCCAGTTCACTAATGTATCAAAATGAAAAACCTCTCACTGGGTCCATAATCTATGGTTAATTATGGTTGTAAGACATAATTAATACCTAGCTCCTATAATTTTGTGCTTCATTTCATCCCCACCACTTGACTCTCCATTTCATCATGCGTCAAAAGGTCTCATGATGCTGCCATGGAGCTCCCCATGCCTCATTGAAAGAACCCCGGACCCAGAAAAAACAAATCAAGCCCCACCCATATGGCCACGTGTCAAGAATCATCACCCACCTGTACCAAGCCTAGTTTCTCGGGCGCTTATCCCTCCCCAGTTGGTTCCCAGAGTTCAAGGATGGGTATATAGAGAGAGAGAAGGGTCGCAAAAGGAGAGGTTTTAATAGGAAAAGAGAAGGTCAAAAGTGCAAGAAAAGCGAGCAAAGAGTTTGTAATGGTAGAGAGCATGTACAAAGCAAATAAAGATGAAAAGTAGCCGTTTTTGTTGTGTGCTGACATTACCGGCTGCAGGCAGTGGTCGGGGCCAAGGTGACCGCCGCACCTGCAGTAGGGACAGCACGCGAGGTAACCGAGTACGGGTGACAACAGGTCACACCCCGTCCCTAACCCCATCTCTCTGCGGCCGGTCTGGTAGATACCCCACATTCACCTCGATCTCGTCTCCATTGCACGCTCACTCCCAAATTTACCACTTTCTTTTTTTTTTTTTTTTTCTATCCTACCCACACCCACAACAGAGTCGCAGACTCTCCCCATCACCACCCTTTAAATTGGAACCCATCTCTCCTCTCTGCGCCCCTCAGAGCTTAAACACAGTTCCAGAAAAGGAAAGAACAGACGAGGAAGAAACAAAGAAGAACTGCCATCAAATTTTTGTTTGTTTCTTCCGTCTTTGATCAAAGTAGCTTTTAGCCAAGACGGGTCTACCGCTGTGGATGCTTGGGTTGGGCGCGGATCGCTTGCGTGCCGACATGAATCGCCTACTCGCGTTACTCTTCCACCAGGTTATCATCTTTTGCTTCTGTGTCGATCTTCTTGCTTATTTCGTTTGGATAATTAAAGCATGTTCATTGTTCGGGTGCCATATATATGATGATTGATGACTTAAAATCTCATAGCGGTTTTGCACTGCATTCGAGAGCATAATTTTGTCATCCGAATGGTGTCATTTCCGGTTGCAGAAATGAGGTCATTTCAAGAAACAAAGTATAAATTAAAAAATGAGGTCATCCCGGGTGCATGACCTCATCTCCTTCTTTTGAGAGAGAATGCCTTCATTTCTTTCTTTTTCTTAGCAATCGAAACAGACTACACTTAGATGATGTTATCAAGAGAAAACTTAAATTGAAATATTTCATTTCATGTGGCACCCAGACATGCATTCTCTGAGTTGATTATTTACCAGATATAATCACCCAAACAGTTTAGGATTTAGAATTAGAAGAGGAGTTCCTGCAGGCTGATAATTAATTTTGAATTGTGATTCAGGGAGTCCTGGACGAGCAGTTCCTGCAGCTACAGCAGCTTCAAGATGAGACTTCTCCCAACTTTGTTTATGAGGTAGTGACCATTTTCTTCAACGAATCGGAGAAGCTTCTAAGAAATCTCAGAGAACTCTTGTAAGAAATGATTCTTTTCTCTTTGTCCTTACTAACTACGGTAATCCCGTAATTTACTTATTTTCATTGTCTTTTTGTATCATCTTTCTCCATCCCTCCAAAATTCTCCCACCTTCTTCCTCTTCTTCATCTTCTTCTTCTTTATAATAATATTGAATTGAAGTAGATTAGAGAGTGGATACTGCACTATGGAAGAGACATCACCTTATGTGGGTATGCATGTTTGATGATGGACAGGTTGGATAAAGAGTTCTCGGACTACAAGAAGATAGGAATCCATCTGAACCAGTTTATGGGTAGCAGCTCTAGCATAGGAGCTAAGAGGGTCAGAAACGTATGTGTAGCCTTTCGCGCCGCTTCTGAGCAGAACAACAGAGCTGGGTGAGTTTCTAAGAACTCGTGCTGCTAGCTAGCTTGTACCCTCTTCCCTTTCTCTTTTTGCAGTCACTCTATGAATTGGGAGAGGGAGAGAGACGTTGTTAATGCGTTCTTGCATGTATATATATATATATCGACTTATATAAAAATGTGTTTTTTTTTTTTTCTGCTATCTGGGTATCAGATGCTTGCGAGCTTTGGAGCTGTTGGAGCACGAATACTGCTATCTCAAAAATAAATTGCACGAACTCTTCCAAGTAAGACAGCTTTAATCATATAATTTAACAGAAAAAAACGCTTTTCCTTTTATGATTCGTGAGTGACAAAGTTGTGATATTTTATTATTATCATATATCATATGACGACGCAGATAGAGCAGCAGCGAGCTATGGCAGCGGCAGTTAGGTATCCGATACAGGACTGAAACAAAGGTTCGACGACGCTTGAAGTTCGCACGGTCGTGTTTCTTGTTGCATCCACCTTCGCCTAATTACAATAGAAGAAGAAGAAGAGAGAGAGAAAGGCCATGCCCAATGCCTCGCTCTGCCTTCTCTTTATTGTAGAGTTATTCTTTGATGCCTGTTGTATTGTAAGTTTGAATGCAGAGAAGTAGTACTTCGAGGCTTAAGCTGCACCTGTCTTCTAACATCATGATGATCCATGTGTAATCTTTAATGGCTTTTTAAGTCTTTACTCCTTGGTGCTTCACCTTACAACACTCGTTGCACTCAGTTATTGAGCATCAAATGCACCAATACTTGTTTCTCTCTCTCTCTCTCTCTCTCTCTCTCTCCTAGCGCGAAGCCATAGCCATAAGGCCTCAAGGAACCACCCGAACGGGTTTAAATAGAGGTTTGATTAGTTTGGGCCTACGTGGAGAATTTGTGCTATACTGAAAATGGAAATTAATGCAGATAGGCCCGGGTGGTGGTGGTGGGGGGCAATAATTTTTACTGCGACTTTGTCTGTAGGGGAATGGAATCCATTGAATTGAGTAGGAGAAGAATTGAAATCCATTTCAAGTCCTTTCATGAAAAAAAAAAAAACAAAAAGAAACACGACTTAATCGTGATACGTGACCCAACTTGGCTCCATTGTTAATTAATAACTGAGATTTCAATTATTTTACATCAATGGAGTCAAGTTTTTATAATTAAAACTCTAGGATTTGTTTGGATTTTTAGGGGTGGAAGTGTAAATCAGTAAATGTAGAATGTAATTGCTAAGTTGATAGATTTTCGAACGACCAGTTAGTCTGTGGATTAAAAAATTGTTAGAAATGGTGGAAAATTTATCCTTGGATCCAAACAGTAGTACAGAAAACTAGGGCGTACATTAGGGGAGTTCAAATATGGCGCACCCAAAACGCGCTCCACATTCACATCTCACCGTATACAGGGAACATCTTCCGTACTTGTCAATTGTCATGAAGAGATATGCTCCCAATACACGGTTGTGATGTGCTGTGGGGTGCCCATGCGAATTCACGTTAGGGATATCAATGGATAACTATAGTCCGATACTGATTCGAATCACAATCCGATTATCCCTGGTTTGAATGTTATTCTAAATACAATAAGCTGGATGCAAATTTGACATACTGATTTGGGATCATATTTGGATTCAAATGTTTCATAATCAGAATGGATGTGGATGTAGTTGAATTCGATCAATTTATAGTCCCTAGCATTGTTACTGCATTCACAAATCCTTTCCGTCATCCCATATTTTCGTCTGCATCCTGATTCAAATCAATGTTTTAAAGAATGACCCGGAACCGGAACTGTTACTGGTTTTCAGGTTGACGGTTCGACCATCCTGTTCAAGTAGATGGTTCATTTTGACTAAACAATTAACAATTAAAAAAAATTAAAATAAAGGCCCAAAAAACATTAAATGGGTTAAATGGGTTGATGGTTCGACTGCTCTGATCAACAGGTCATTTATTCCTTCAATGGATTTTGGACAGACCAGATTTAGAGTAAAATGAAACCAGTTGCCTGGATGGTTCCTGATTGGTTGTGGGTGAGCTAAAACAGCCTCATATTTAACTTTTTATTTTTAAAACGAATTTATGAAGAATCTGAGGAGAACAACTGCATTTTAGAATATGGTATAGAATAGAAGAAACCACTGAGATGCATGGGCTGGTGTTAAAAGATGCCCATACTAAAAGGGAATGATTACGTTCAGTTTCTTAATAAAAAGGAAACTGAATTGGCTGCAAGTAGCCTGTGTTTGATTTTTTTTTTTTTTTAATTTTAAATTCAAAAATTTCAGACAACAAAAGTCTGAAGAGATTAAGAAGAAGAAGAGAGTAAACTGACATGAACAACTGCATTTTAGAATATAGTATAGATATGAATATATTATTATATGCTAAACGTAGAATCTAAACCATGCAAATGCCTTGGATTCTCACTACAATATAATCCTGCAAGAAATCAGGGTTCCTGAATGCTACCCACATGGCCTCTTAAATTCTATGCTTATTATCCAATATCAGCTTTTTTATTTATTTTTTCTTGCACTGAGCAGGAGATTTCTGATTCATTAAGCTCGAATTTCTGGAGATCCAACAGTGCGTCGATACAAAAGTAGGATCAGATGGATCACTCACTTACTTTCCCCCAACAAAGTGGGATCAGGCTTACCACCCATCCTACAGCTTTTCTAGATCTTTAGACCAAAGGATGCTATTATTAGCTCCAGTTTCAAGGAGAAAGAATGCACGAGACCAAAAATCTTTAATTGAAAACTTGTGGCTTTGTTTCGTTGGCTAGTTCATTTTAAGTGTGCTAGTGCTACTTCTGTCAAAACTGAGCTTCTTTCTCTTTATCTTCAAAAAAGGAAGGATCATTCATGTCTCATGACTGTATCAAGAGATGGTACAAATTGATTCACTAATATCTGCATTCAAATTGAATCTTATCCATTGGGTTTAATTAGATTGAACTTTAAATTTAATTCAGAATACGAATACCATTAGTTATAAATTATATTAGAAGTTATGAAAATATGTTATAAATAACTACTAATCAACAGAAAATGACAGCACTATAGATCTGTCATATATAGAAGCAAGGTTTCAAAAACTGTATTGGATACGGAGCCGTTTTGGTGTTCTGTTCTTGGGCCGAACGGTCCAACCTCCGGTTGAAATAGATGACCCATTTTGATTTAAAAAAATAAATAAAATAAAGGCTAAAAATTGTTGTTTGGGTCAATGGTTTGACCACCCGGGTCAGTGGATTGTTGACCAAATCAGCAGCTTTTGACCTAAAAGTGATTTTATGGTAAAACAGAACCAATTGCCCAACAGTTCCTGAGTCAACCAGTCTGGTCTGGTTTTCAAAACCATGTATAAAAGTATATGGAACTTTGGTTTCTTTGGTGGAAGCTTTAATCATTGTTTTTAAGACTCATCCCGGACCGGATGGTCAGACCATGAAAATTAGGACCAGTGGCCTTTCTGAGTCCCGGTTAAATGACAGCTTTGGTGGTTGGATGGGTGCAAATCACCTAATAAACCAATAAAACTAGGACCCGAAAAGCATTCTGGTTTTTACTCCGATCCGAGCATTAAAACACCGGCTTTAATTTCTAGTCCTTCAAAATTCAAATGGCAGACCTCGATCGTTTTTTCCTGCTTACACAATACACATGGCTAATTAATAATACTTCAGCTAACAAGAGTCCCTTGGGATTCCACATTGCAGAAAAGGAAGTAGATCGTGTAGAAAACTCTCTTCGTGACCCACTCAAATAGGAAATCCGTATTTCGTCATCTGCTTGAATATTACATGGCTTATTCTTCATTACATTGAAGATGCATCTATAATATGAACAAGGTTGAAAATACGTTGGTTTGTAGGGGTGTATCGGCCTTTTTCTTTTTTTAAACTCAATATAATACATATCGGTTGATACGGCCGGATATTATATAAAAATTTTGAACATATGAAGACAAAATAAAGAAACTAATTAAAGTAAAACAACTATATCCATGGCTACGACGGAGGATCTCTTTACATAAATATAATGCGGTAGACTGTGGTGAGATGGGACCTAACAGTGGCATGAGCCATGAAAATAAAGGTGAACGGTCTCCGTCAGTCACTCAAAATCAAAATTTACCAGCAAAACGACGTGCAACTTTTCAGCATGCCCACCAACTATTCAACTTTTGTGGAAAATGATTCATTTCCTTCTGATAAGGGCATGAAATTGAGAGATACGCAATTGATCAACATGTGATGAAACTTTGAATACAAATTATGGCTTTGTTTCATGGAGAAAGAGAGTATATATAAATGGACAGTTTCGAGTTGGATCCGTTTGAACCAAAATTAATTTAGACGGATTGGACGGATCAATCTGGACTTAACGGTCTAAAATATTTTTTGGATTGGATTGGACTGGACCTGGTCTATTTATAATTAATTTATATTAGATTGAGCCAGATTGAGTCAATGTCTGATCTATTGATAGAATATAAGGACATAGGTGTCAATGGACCAGATTTGAGTTAGAACTAATCTAAATTAAAACAAACAAATTTAAATAACCCGATCTAAAATATTCATCGGATTGGATTAGACCTGATCCATTTATAATGAACTCACATTAATTGAATCCCCTGCCTCCAATCCTCCAACCACTGTTGTAAGTTGGGTTGGGTGCTTCTGGGTCCCCTTCAAATCAAGTCTTGATCAGGCTTTACTAGGCCTATCATTACTCACATGGAGTGCTAATTGTAGTATCAATTGAGATTTTCTACAATTCATAACTGTTTCAATTTAAACACGTAAGAGCACTTTTCTTTCTCCTTCATCAGACCTTAACTGGCCTGGGTTTGGACGGAGTGGACACGGGCCTAGGCCCAAACAAACCCAATTTCCTATTCTTACTGCAATTAGACTGTTCACGGGCTGTGCTGGGTTGGGTTGAAACATTGGACCTATTCTTGAGCCCGGGTCCAGCCATTAAATAAAACCCCAAGCCTGATCTGAATAAGAAACAAGCAGCAAACTTTTGGGCTGGGCTTTGACCCAAAAACGAATCATAGAAAATGGGACTATTTGGAAAATCTTTTTGGAAAGATCTTCTAGTAGTTCTGATTCACGATCAAAAGAAGCATTGAGCTTTTGTATTAAGACCTGAGCTGCCTGAAGCTTGTTTCGTTAAGGACTCCGGGTCTCTTACCCATAAGAACTCTACCCACGTCTACCCACAACACACTACCCTCGTGCATTGAAAACATCTTCTCGTGCATAATACTATTAAGAGGATGAGATATTCTCCATGTGTGGCTGTGATGTTACATAGGTAGAGTTCTTGTGGGCAGGAAATCCTTACTCTTTGTTTAGAGTAATCGAACCAAAGGAAAAAAAAGATCGAATCTCGGCCTGCTGGACTTATGTAAGCCAAACAGGAGAAAGACATTAGATAAACACGTTTTTTTATTTCTACTTTTGGGGTAACTACATGAACACGTTATCATTCATCACTCTTCATCTTCATCTCACTGTTTGTGGCGGTGTCGTCGTCGTTGTTTGCGATGAATTATAGCCGGAAATTAAAGATAAATTAGATACAGTGATCATGCAGAGTTGCTGTAATGGTCACGCACACACAGCTGCGTGGTTCAGTTTTATTATATATGTAGTGTAAACGTACAAAGCTTGTAAGAGAACAATTACAATTACGATTCTAACTAAATCTCAGAAGATATCTTGCAGATTTATCTTTCATCAACAAAAACAAGAACGAAAAGACTCACTCAGATCAGACAAGTTGCCCTGTCTTTCACTTGGACGTATCAGACGTTTCCAAGTTGTCAATGGGCTCCAATTCCATCGCACCTTGTGTCTCACGCAGTCCTCTATCAGAACCCATCATCATAATCTTGAACTCTTCGAAATTAATCAACCCATCATCATCGCAATCCACCCCACGAATCATCTCCTTACACTCTACAATCGATAACTTATCATCCCCTAAACTCTTCAACACTGTCTGCAATTCCTCCGGTGATATGGACCCATTTCGATCCTTGTCAAAGACCAGGAACGCGTTCCTCAAATCCTCCATAACCTTCACTGAATCAACCCCCTTCGTGTTCAACTCAATAAACTCGTTAAAATCAATAAACCCATCATCGTCCAAATCAACCTCATTTATCATCTTCTGCAACTCCTCTTCCGTTGCAAGGTGTCCCAAGCTCCCCATGATGGAACCTAGTTCTGACCAAGAAATCTTCCCGTCCCCATTCACATCGAATTTCCTGAACACATGCTCCAGCTCCTGGATTCGGGTTCTGAAGTTCATAAACGAGCCCACGGGCGGCGACGTCGAACAAACCGAGTTTTCTGGAGGGGAGTTCGGCACTGACTTGCTGTTCTTCTTACGAGAGAAAAGAGATCGAATACCCATGATTAGAGATTGTGGGAGAGGCTGATACTCAAAAAAAAAAAAAAAAAAATCTAGGCTTTCGACCAATATGCGGCAAGGATGTTAAGCGGTCATATTTAAATTGTACCGAGAATGACAATATGGCCTGACGTGTTTTTTGTAGTGCCACGGGATTCATACACAAATTAAAAAAAAAAAAAATCAGAAGAGTTTCTAATTAGTGGAAGAAGAAAAACTATGTAAGATTTGGCTGAACCTTGTGGCATTTTAGGCCTCATTCATTTTCACTTTCCTAAGTATGTTTACCTAAGGGCCCATTCTTTTTTTTTTTTTTGAATTGTGAGAGGGGAAAGTTGGTCAATGGAATTTTATTTTCCATTGATCAAGATACCCATGTTATTTTATCATATTTATGGGTCCATTGAAAATTTATTTTTCGTGGGTATCATTTATCTGGTGGATAAATAAATTTCCCATGTCGGGATAAAGTCGCTACATTTGGATGGGACAAAATTGTCCCATTTAATAATGAATTTTTATGGGTAAAACGATCATTTTCTTATTTATTTAGAAAATAAAAGAACATAGATAAATGCATTTATCCGAGTAAGTGCATTCACCTAGATAAATAACTTCCCAAAAAACGAATAGGGCTAAAGGTAAAACTTGTGTAAATAAGTGGGTTTTCAAAATTCCTATGTGATACAAGTTATCCAGATAAAAAGAGAGACGGGAGGGAGAGAGCATTATTGGTGAACAGGTATAATACTATAGGAAGGTAACTGATATTCTTTTATATCTTAGATTACCATGGGACCCAAATATAATGGCAAATGAATGTGGAAATTGTGATCAATTTGCTGGTTGACAAAGGAACTTAACCCCCCTGGTGCGTGCATGCGAAATACTAATGTACTAAGAGATGGTAATCTTACATATGTCAACATTGTTTTTCTTTTGACTTTTTCTTCATTTTATAGTGGGATTACTGTACAACATACATTGGTGGCCTAAAAAGTACTGTCTTCCCTTCTTTACCATCCAAATAAAGATACTCTCCTATTTAATAAGAATTACATTTTTTAATATTAGTTCAGCTTTTAAGGGATGGAATTAGGGCTTCTTGCATATTAAATGACCAAGCTTTTGTTCATTTGACAAATTCTGTCATGTTTTAAAAATAATTGCAAAAATAGTGAGCGGGAGAGATTTTTAATTTTTTAGGACCAAATTGTCCTTCATTTAAAACCCACCCATAAGACCATATTCCTCTCTCTACCCAATCTCTTGTTTTCTCCCTCTTTTCACTCTCTTCGTCTTCTCATTCTTATGGCCTTTGCTCTTGCTTGTGCGAGTTTCCCTCTCCATCTTTTGGATGTGAGTTTTTCTCTTACATTTGTGAGGTTCTCTATTTTCTTCGTACAGGTATCTCATGGTGAAGTCCTCGTGGATCATTTGGAAGGGAGTCTTGGTGCAGAGGAAGTAATGGGAGATCTGTTACAATTAAAGTCTGAGTACTTTGCTCATCTGGTGTGTGCGGATGGGGTCATTGGGGGAAGTGCCACCGGTGCCATTCGTTTCCCTGCTATTGCTTTTCTAGTTGCTGCTATACCCGAAGTCTATGAAGCTACTACTAGTGTTGGTCAATATTTGATCCGAGTTTCAAGCCACTCTACTCATGATTATTTCTAGTGCCTTCTTTTCTCTTTAAGCCTAATGATGGATACATTATGCACATGTTTTGATATAGTTGGAAGATTATATACCAATGATAATGGATTGGATGTTATTGAATCTGGCACTGGAATTGGAGAAGACGATTTTTCTGATGACCAATTTCTTGATGTTTCCTTTTTTGCGGACCTTAAACCAGATATCACCATAGGCGTAATTTGTGCCCATCTCTTTCTTGTTTAACAATGGCTCATAACAAACCTTAATGGATTAAGCAAAACAAAAGTTTGTAAAACACCACCCATTTACAAACCTAATGGGTGCTAAAGTTTGTAAAACACCACCTAGTCTGTTCAATACCAGATGGATTGTACATTGATCAGAATCATATAGAACCATGTGGTTTATTGGATTCTAAATGCATTTAATTGTATAAATACTATTAGATCCCTTGGTGATAAATGTTCAACAACAATTGATAACTCAAAATTACAAGAAACCATCCAGTTTGTTTAATGTTGCATGGTGTCTAAGTCTATAAAATTCAGCTTGTTCAATACCAAATGGATTGTACACTTATGGGAATCATATAGAACCTTGTAATCTATTAGGTTCTAGATGCATTTGATGGTATAAATACTATTAGAAATGTTACAACTATAATTGATAATTCAAAATTATAAGAAACCATCTGATCTGTTTAATACTAAATGGTTTCTAAGTCTCTAAAACACCATCCCGTCTCCACCATATCGAATTGCTTGTACACTTTTGAGAATCATATACAACATTGTGGTATATTAGATTTTAGATGAATTTGAGGATTTATCTATTATTTTATCACCTACGTATTGATGAATCAAAATTGTAAGCAATCATCTTACCTATGTAATATCAGATGGTTTCTAAGTCTATAAAACACCATCCGGTCTTCCCCATAGTGGATGATCTATACACTAGTGAAAATCATATGTAACCTTATGGCTTGTTGGGCTTTAGAAGAATTTGAAGGTGTAAATACTATTTTATCACTTAAGTGATAGATATTTGCAATTGCAGTTGATGATTCAAAACTGCAATAAACCATCTGGACTTGGTGATGTCGGATGGTTGATGAGGGGTAATTTGGTCCTCCAATGATGTCATGACACGTGGCGTTGTAGAGCAATAGAGTGACACCTTGACACCACATAAGCAGACCCTAGGAGCACTTCAGACACATCACAACTACATTGATGACCTGGGCACCACCACGGTAGGCCGAACTCCAAACAGCTAGGCAAGACCTCATGTTAGTTTAAGAGGTGACCTGTTTCCACCGATCTTACCTGACTTTGGTTAGCGACCTGCCTAATGTGCCGAGCGACCTCCCCCTTAAGTAGAATATCACCTTCGAAATCCCTAAGATCACGATGCCACGTTGGAAGAGCTTGTTATCACCCCGCCCGCTTTGGGCAGGATTGGATAAACATTACCTGCTTACATAGAGTCCACCTCCAAGCATGAAACCACCTCCAAACCAGATAGGCCGGAGATTCTGGACACATTTCGTGAGGTTCACGACATCTCACCTATATAAGGGCCTCACCTCCAACCTCATAAGGTACGCGCGATTTAGCACTCAAGATCTCTAGCTCTCTCTCGCTTTCTAGATTTCTAAAAACTCCAGTTCGCTAACTTAAAGCATCGGATTGCCCACACTGGGTAAAGCAGCTTGAGTACTTTGATCTTTTCTCTTTTTCTTTATAGCTCGACCAAGCAACCTACCAAATCCGACGTCTGAGCTATCCACCAACAAGGAGTGTCAGATTGCACACCATCGGTTTCTAAGTTTGTAAAACACTATCCGGTCTGCCCTATACTGGATGGTTTGTACACATATGAGAAACATAAAAAACTATGTTGTTTATGGGGTTTTAGATACATTTGATGGTGTAACTACAAGTAGATTATTTGGGGGATAAATGTTTGCAACTATAAGTGATGTTTCCAAATTGCAAGCAATCATCTGGTCAATTTAGTGTGAGATGGTTTCTAAGTTGTAATCATCAACTATTGGACATTATACAGACCGAATGATTCCTTGCACCTCTAAATTACTAACTATAGTGGTTAAGATATCTTGTTAATATTGCACATACAACCAAATATTAGATAGGGCCTTCTTGTTATTTAACATAAAGCAAATAGTTTCTTAGCCTAAATTGTGACATCTCAATCACGAGCCTTGTTGATACAAACTTCGAATCACGATATCTTCAATCCCGTTAGTTTTTTTTTTTATTTATTTTTTATATAAACTTAGTTCTCAATCTTAATATAATCCAAACTTGGCCCTAGAAGCCAATACATAAAAATTAAGAAAAAAAGCACTTGAACAATAGCTCAACCAGAGAGAGAGAGAGAGAGAGAGATGCTTACATGTAGACCTATCCATGGGTCGGGTAGCCTGATGAGCTGGCTCGTCCTGACCCGTTATAAGTTGGGCTTGGTCATAATTTTAGGCCCGCGGGCTTGGTCTCGGGCCTAAAGCATCGGGCCCACTTTTTTTCAGGCCATGCCGGCCCGAGCCCAACTTGATACTATATATTAAATAATAAAAATATATTTTATTTAATAAAAAATATATATACAATATCTTTTCTTTGTTCTTTTTTTTCCAAGTAATAGTAAGATGTTTATTATTTTTGAATTTTGAAGGTTTTTAATATAAATAAAACAAGTTTTATTGAATAAAAAAAGAAAAAAAAATGTTTTCAAATTTCTGGTTGAGCTCGGGCCTCCCAAGACCTAGGCCCAATGGTTGGGTCGGGCTTGGGCCTGAGTGTATTCTATTGACACATATATAAAGCCCGGCCCGAACCCAGCCCGGCCCATGAACAGGTCTACATACATGTACGAAGATAATAGAAGATAGTGAGTCATGATGAAGACAATGAGAAAAGGGAGAGGGGAGAATAAGATTGAAAAAAAGAAAAAGAAAATCGGGCTTCATTGGGTTAAGGTCATTTTGATTAGAAATAAAAAATAAAAAAACTCTCCCTTTTGCTGGAAAGCGTGACCGGTTTTATTAATTTGGCAAGCCTTTTTAATTTTCTTGCAAAAGCCCTTTGTATTATAACTTTGGGGAGAATGTATGGAGACAAGGAAAGAAGAAAAGTAGTCAAAACAAGTGACTGAAGCCTAAGACATCCATATCTTTTGATTTGAGCATCTATTTTCGACATGATATGTTAAAACGATTGACAAAGAAGAAAATAACTCTTAACTCTTTAGATTAATAATGGGCATTTTTCTTTTATAATATGTCACGTAGCTTAACCATTTTAGCAAAATTTGATTAGGAAGTCTTCTTTTTATTAAAATACATTGTTTTAGGAAATATGAATGGTATTAGGGTTTTTTACTATTTTTTGTGATTTTACCATTTGTGCCCATAAATAGGCCATCATTTCACAAGAACAATTTCAATAAGTTGAATATACTTCTCTTTGAAAATCCTTCCAAAAGAGAACGGTGGTGATCTATCTTTTCCCCATGTATGCTTCCTTCCTGCTACGTCACCACTCACCAACCCAAAGGGTTCTTATTGAAAACGGCATCATGTTGCCTGAGAAAAGAGATCCAAAAATCTTTGGGCTAGAACAATATCTTTCCTGCAACATGAAAGGAAATGTATATGTGGGTTGAATATATTATTCTTCCATGTGAAATAAATGGGTAGGTTTTGGAAGAAAGAAGCTAACCACCGTTCCATGCTCGAAGTCGCAAAAATATACTTGTTAATGTGGGCAAAGGCCCATTCATTACCCCACCCATCAGGAATATTTGGCCCACAACCACCCCATGTGGGCCTGCTTCACGTTTAGAATGCCTCTAGCTTTGGAGAAAACCTTCAAATAATGGTACTGTCTTTCCTCTGACAAGCGTTTCACCATGTGCTCTACTTTTCCTCCATTCCTCCCAATAGGCATTGTGCCCACTCTCTTTTCTCTTTGGGTCACTCCTTTTTGTCAACTGCCACAATTTATGTATACATGATTTTAGACTTTGTTATTTAAAAAGTTTATTATATAGTGCATAGAGGAAATATAAAAAATATTTATTTTTTGAAGATTAAAATTTAAAATATTTATATTATATATATTTAGAATTAAGGGTCCGTTTGGTTCGTAGTCAGAATTGAAATCAAAATCTCTTGAAATTGAAATTGGAATGATCTATTTTCAGTCTGTTTGGTTTAGATAGGAATTGAAATGGGAATCAGCTGGAGTGGAATTTCATTTGCAAAGGAGGGGGAGAGAATGTCTATTTCCTCAAATGGGAGAATGCCATTCCATCAAGAATGTAAATAGAATTTCGGTTCTACCAAATCAAATGATTAGAATCGGAATAGCTCATTTTGATTTCGATTCCAAACCTCTATTCCTGTGAATCGAATGGGCCGTAAAAAAATTGGTTAATCTAACTAGTACAAATAAAAATAAATAATATTAATATACTTTTCTTTATCGGTAGTTGTCTTTTTTTGCTAGGCATTCCTTTAATATGGGCTTATGACTATATGAGTTATGGGCCACAAACTTTGTGAACCTTTAGATTTCGGCTGTCAATTAGTGCAAGTGTTTGACAAATTGAGCGAAAGGGGCAAAAGCCTGTCAGAATCCGCAACAAGGGAACCGGATATTTTACGTTAAAGCATGTCTAATATCTACAAATTTGAAATTAATTCTTAGGGGCTGTTTGAAAATTTTTTTAGAACACCTTTTGGTAATTCTGACAGTTGAAAGACGTATTGAATTTAAGATCTGATCAGCCTGAAGTCTGTGTGGTTAAGACGTGTTTTTTTGCACGGAGATGAATAAAAAAATACAAAAGTTCTATTTGAAGCATTTTAAAAAGCACTCATTTTTGAGCTTTGTGTATCTTTTCGGCAAATCAACTTTTAACAGTTAAATCTACTGTAAATCAAACGAAAAAAAAACCGAATCACAATCTATCAAACTTATAAATAATCAACAGACCACACAGAAAGATACGCCAAACGAAAGCCTTAATCTTCAACCCACCCCAAGATGTGAGGAGCCTTGGACAAGCTCTATTGAACTGGAGCCATTACAGTTCGTAGACAAGTTGAGTGATGAATGACTCTCAGTGCGTCCCTATCGCGTCTACGAACCAAATTAACATATGTGGTGTCCATTTTGAACCCAAACACAGAGCACTATACGATTCGAATCGATACTTTGGTCCAGATCCTCTAGACGCTGTAAAGAGGCCACGTATCGACTGGGCCTGCATGCAGCCCATTCTTCACAGCGTAAGACCTTCTGGACTCCAATACCTTCAGGTGCCGTTTGGTTTTCGCCGCGAGACAATGGAAAGTTGTCGGCCAACCGACGTTGTCCCTTTATTTTTGGGGTATTATCAATCAAATTCCTATGCCTTCTAAAGCCGGTAATTATTTTTTTAGTTGTTCAAACTTCAAAGGCTTGTCCGAGTTTTCAAAAGTTCATTTTTCGCTTTATCGACTCAACTCTTTTATAAAAGGAAAAATTTTCTAAAGTAACCATGATTCCGATTTATGGTATCTTTAAGTTTTAAGAAATTAATTTGTTTATCTTTATTATTTAAAAATTGTTTTAAAATATTTTGAGTTTTATAATAATTGGTTAAATCCTCTCTTGTCATTAGCATCCGTTAATAGAAAGAAGAAAAAGATTATTTAAAATAAAACATTTGGAAAAATCCGTAACATTTGAATAACATCTTGCTGATTTTTTTCTCATGACAATTTTTTTTTGTTAGCAAATCTTTCCAACTGATACAGATGTTTAACGAAATCATATGCAACTAGGGACGTACAAATCGGTTGGTTCGGTTCAATTCGGTTAGAACTAAAGACCTAACTGATTATTTGGTTTGACCACCTCTCCCAACCGGACCGAATTAGATTACAATTTAAAATCAAACCAACCCTAACCGATTATTCGGTTTGACCACCTCTCCCAACCGAACCGAATTGGATTACAATTTAAAACCAAACCAAACCAACCCTAACCGAATTCAGTTCAGTTCGGTTCAGTTTTTGGTTCGTTTTAATGATTAATGAACTATTAGCTATTAATCTTAAGTCTAGGTTTTAATGAACAATTAATACAACTAATGAACATTTGAATGACTAATTATTAAAGCAACTATACTCATTCTTCACAAACAATTAATGAATAATTAATAATTAATCTATATTTTAATACTATAGTTGTTTAGAGCCTCTAGGCTATTTAATTAACTATTATTAATTAAAAACTGGAATAGGCCCAGCCTACCAAAGCATAATGGGGAATTGTCAATTAATCATTACCCATTTAAAAAGATAATAATTATTAATTAATAAGTATAAAGTATTGGATATAATGTTATATATTTAATATACTTAATTAAATACAACCACTGATTCGGTTTTTGGCTCGATTTGGCTGGAAAGATTAACCAAACCGAACCAAAAGCGAAAACCAAATTTTAAAAGAAACAAAAACTGAACCGAGTTAGTTTATTCGGTTTGATTTTCAGTTTATCAACCAAATTTGAGCACCCCTATATGCAACCCAAAAACCACATGAGGTCATCTCCATTTTCTGTTACTACAAATACCTTTGAACACAGATGAACAAGAGGATCATCTCTCACCCAAAAACTAGATTTTAAAGATGCCATCTTAACGCTAGCTAGTTAAGGTTGTGTTCTTGTCCGCAAGATAGATGTTGAATTTTATTTTAAAAATTTGAAGAATGATGGAAGGCAAAAATGATAACGAAACATTGGATTTAAAAAATAAAAAGTTCCAGATGTCACATGTAAATAGATTATGATAAAACACTCATGGATGCTAAGATTATGGGAGAATTTAGTCAATTGTCACAAAATTTGAGGTACCTTAAGATAATATCTAAATAATAAGGATTAAGTTAGTCAATTTCCTAAAAATAAAGACTAAGGGAGTAGTTTAATAGATTTACCCAATACAAGTATTTGTAAATTAAAATTTAATGATTCCATCTCTTTCGTTAACAAACCCCACTTAACAACTTTTGGATTTTTAGTTGATGGACGGTGAGTTGTGAGTGAAGACAGGTGCGGTGGCCGGGATTCATGGGCTCTTTACTGCATACCACTTAACCGAGTTCCAAGTTTTGCCCTCGTTAAGACAGCGCACAAATTGTTCCAGTTGTCACAGTGTTGATCCGTAATTGTTGTTTTATTATGGTTTTCGCTTTGAGACGAAAAAAAGGTAAAAGGGGGTGGTGATGAATTCCGCTCTAGGAGGAATTTCAACTACATTCTCATGTAAGGAATTAAAACAGTATGACTGTAATTTTGGATCAACATGCCAAAATGAAAAGTTGGAAACAGAAGCCTATCCACAAATATCTACATTCTGCAGATAACTCAAAAAGTAGGATGCCTGATACGATTTCATCCGTCATCCATAGCAGGTATTTCAAATCCGTTGAAACCCCTGGTTTCACCCTTTTGAATTTCTATTAAATTAAACTTGGGGTTCCACTTTTAACTTTAACCATAATAAATAGAAAATAAGGAATTTGCACTTTTTCATTATGTTAAAGTTTTCACATTTTTTGGGCTTTACCACAACTTTTTTTCTCTACCGTATAGTTGCTTGTTTTACGAGAGAAGCAGCAAATCAAACCACGTGTACAACGAATCAAATTGCATGAAAAAATCAATTCACTCCCTTACTCGTATTAAAATCAGTAATCAGTCGAGGAATAATTTTTGTAGATGGAAATCAGTTGGTCCCGATTTGATTCCGTCTATTCCGGACGAAGCGTAAAGTAGCCCTACGATACTTGAAAGTGAAACGTGGAAGGTAAGGGGAGAAAGAGAGACATAGAGGTTTGTGAAAGCGCTGAGAGTGTCGCGTGGGCACCGAGTATTAATACAACGTCACATCCACAAGTGACGATATTCCTACATATAAGTCGCAGTTGGCAGTCGCACTCTCTCAACTCCCAGTCCTCGGTTTCAATCTTTTCTTCTTCTTCTTCTTCTTCTTCACTCTAGGAGATTGAGTTAATTATTCGTGGGTATAAGAGATTTGAAAGAAACGATAGAAATTGTTCAATGAAAATGAGAGGAGGAGTTCTGGTTCGAGAGGGTTTCTGCTACCAAGAGGAAACCCAGCTTACGGTGCTCAAGACATCTCTTTTCTTCGCCGGCGACGGTTTCTCTGTTTACGATTCCAAAGCCAAGCTTCTCTTCCGCGTCGATTCTTACGGTCCCGATGTCCGAGATAAAGACGAAGTCGTTCTCATGGACGCGTCTGGCAACTGTCTCCTCACCGTCCGAAGAAAGGTCCCCCATTCCCTCTCTCTCTGTCTGTCTGTCTGAAACACAAACACAAACACGAGTCAACTCGGAATTAATTCCTGCCGTGGCACAAACCTTAGTCAGAAGTAGAGATACTAACCAATGTGTTTCCTTTTCTGTTGTTCAGAGACCGAGTCTCCATCAAAGATGGGAGGGATTCATAGAGGAGGAGGGAAGCAGGAAGAAGCCCGTCTTCAGCGTACGGAGATCGTCGATCATCAGACGGTCGAGCGTAAACGTAGAGGTATTCGACAACCCAGGAGAGGAGTACCTGATCGACGGCTCATTCCGGCAGCGTTGCTGCACAATCTACCGCACCTCCAACAACAACAAGGAGAAGGAGGTGGTGGCGCAGATCAAAAGAAAAGTTGACGCCGACACCAACGTGGTGCTTGGGAGAGACGTTTTCTGGCTCTGCCTCAAGCCTGGCTTTGATGCTGCATTCGCGATGGGCTTGGTTCTCGTTCTCGATCAGATCAATGGTATTATTGGGGATTACCTCCTGGATGGAGAAAATGTCGATCCAACGGCGCAGGTTGCTTCACCGTGATTTTTTCTTTTTCTTGTTCTTGTAAGTTGTAACTACTAATCGGTTTGATGTGTGGAGTCCTTGACCTCCCTCTACTTTTAAAAGTTTACCCTTTTCTTCGTTTTTGTTCTTTTATTTTGTTATATTAATAGAATAGTGATTGCACTGATTCGGCCCATGACATCACAAATTGTATATTTTCACTTAAAATCATAACCGTTCGATTGGGATTCTTGAGGGCCCAAAGTGGTCCCACTGAACCGAGACTTTGTAGAATGTGGGTCTTACATGACTCAGTCTGTGGAGTTCTCATCGTCTGTCCACTAGGGATAGAATTTTTTTCTGTCCCATCCAATGAGAACCAAACATGTCACTCTCTCCCCCTTTCATTTGAAACTGAGGAGATGAATTGAGTTTAAGAACAATAATGGAGAAAACTAAACAAGAAGAAACCATTGTCAGAAAGGCTCTAACTGCGTATAAATTATACATTAAATACATCGATTATTTCAGCTTTATGCCTAGGGTGTAGAACCAATTTGCTACAGGGATCCAAAGTACAGTTAGCAAGGTCATGAGTGGAGTTGGCTTTTGGATGAGGCGGTCGTCGTGGAAGACGACTGGCTTTGGTAGCTTGTCACGGCTTACGGCCTGGACCTCTGGCTTGGCCGGAACAATGTAAGCCTCCTGCGGTTACAGTCACATTGATAATCTATAAGTTTCCAAACCTGGCTGAATTGGACAGTTCTAACCAGGTTCTGAGTTGAGATCAAGCCATCTATACTCATTTAGAGGAGATTGCTATTAGTCTCCACAGCTCATTAGCAGCGTGCCGTCCATATTGGCAACGAGTTCACATCCGCGCCCCACAACACATCCCTGCCTTGCCTTGTATTGGGAACATTCCCAATGATGTATTAAAAATGATCACGAGCAATACACTGTGGGGATGTGTTGTGGAACGTTGTGATTAGAGTCCATCCTGCCGTTTTCATCCCCCCTCTTTTCTTTTCCCTTTCCACCGCCCCTACACAGTACTAAACTGAGTTCACGTTTATGCTCCACAGCACATCCCGACTTTGTATTGGGAACATCTCTCCTGATGATGAAGATGGCATGGCCCCCTTATCGGGTGCAGATGTGAACTCCGCCAAATTACCCCCACTTAGCTTGAATATCCCTTGCCCACACAATACCGGTCAATGTAATTCAACAGGAAGCCAAAATTGTAATTCACATAAACAAAATGTTTGGTTTGATTTTTTGCCTTTTCTTGTGTATTCGTGCAATCCATTCACAACCTCAGGCTGAGAATTAGATGATAACTCTACTTTAACTACTGCTAGGCATTGATTCAATGTCACTAGTCTCATATGCAACCCGGCTGAGAGGTTGGTTTTGGAATTCTTCTTTTTTAATTTTTGAATATTGGAAAATGATGAGGGCGGATTTGTCTCTTCAATGACATTATGACGCCTGGTACATACAGACAGCCTGACACTTACAGGCAGTTCGCCACAGACAACTCACCATCGTGCAGCTTGGCACCTTACGGGCAATCCGCCACAGGCAGCTCACCATCATGTAGCCTTGGCAACTTAGACAACTCGGCACTGCACAGGCAGCTCGCCTCCTAATCAGACCGAACACCGTATGACAACCCCGAGGAGCTCACCACCGTACCCCGCATTTTATGGAATTGTGACTTGTAACGGCTGTATTAACTCATCCACTCCCCGATTTAGGCGGAAAAAGGCAACCTTACCGGTTGGTGGTTTTATGCCCACTTAACACGAAAGCAGGTCCCATCACAGTGGGAATCCAGGAACTGCTCCACCAAACCCACGAGGACTTCAGTATATAAAGAACCCCAGGGGCAAGGAGAGGCGAGAAAATGAGGTGGTAACCCATGCTCTCTTACTCTCTCATTCTCTAATATCATTCTTAGCTCACTACTAAGTGCCGACTTAGCCATCGGAGTGACCTCGCCGGGTATACACCCCCGGGCTCTCTGATTCAATTCATGCAAATCTCTCAGTTCTTGCCGTCTACAAAGATGAGTAGATCACCTTCAGCTCGGGAGCAGCCGGGTTGCGCTACGCTAGGGAGCTCTACTTCAGCCTCCGAGTCATCCGCCACTTGGAGCAGACGAGGTGACGAGATACTTAACCAAAAAATGATACGTGACTAGAAACAGTTACATCAGAAAACATTTTTCTATAATGTTGACAAGATAACGATGATGCAACAACGAGAATGTATAGGACTGGATTTGTTTCTTGTCTGTACTTAATTGCCCATCCTCGAACTGGGTTCCTATCGTGCTCTGTTACATTGACTGGTTCTCTTGCTTGTATTTTGAGCATTCTGATTGTCTGATTCATCAGTGGAGAAATGAGTGGTCGGGTACTGCTGAATTATGCAGTTGCCGGAGATGAGACGAAGGTTAGGGGTGGTATTGTGTGAGCGGTGGAGATTGAATGGTATTGTGTGGGGGGTGGAGATTCAGTTTGTGAGGGGCGGAGGGGAGGGAGGAGAAGAGAAGAGAGAGGGAATGAGAAGCAACGGTGGTTTGACGGCGTGGAGATTCGGGCTGCATGGAGGCAGTTCGGAGCTATTCAGGGACGGTGAGGGAGGGAGGAGAAAAGAAGAGAGAAAATATAAATGAGCGGGCTAATTGAATTTCACAAATTTTTGGAGTCCAAACTGCCGTTATGTCTGGACTCTGTCAGTTTGAAATGTAAGAGGAAGGATAACGGTGTGTTCGATTTCCATTGGATGGGACAGAAAAATTTCTGTCCGGACGATGCGAGCTCCATTCTGTGGGAGTAAGTTTTAGGAATTGCATACCAGTATCCTAAAATTTGGGTTAGTTTTACACTCTTGCCTTGTAATTCAAACTTCACAACATGCCATTGCATTATTTTGATTCTCAAAAATTGTTAATTTAGGGGTTGTTTGGTTGGAAAAAGTGTACTGTGCTGTGGTGTGTTTTAGATCATACCATCACAAGAAAAGTGTTCTAAAAAATGGTGTGTTTTTAAAAGGCAATGATTTTGTGTATTGCATGCGCAAGATAATTTTAAATATGATATCATTAATAAAGCATTATATTATGTTTATAAGATTTTGACCATTTTCATTTACATGAACCTTATATTTAAATAAATTATTACATACACCAGTCTATATTACACTTGTTCATCGGCCAGGCTAGGCTGAGTTGGGTTCGGGTTTGGCTTTGCCTTTACATTAACAGAATTTGCTCAGGCTCGAGACCGAATCCAACCAAAATTTTGAAATTCTTTTTCTTTTTTATTCAATTAAAAATATTTTATTTATATTAAAAGACCTATAATGAAAGATCTCAAAGAGAAGAATAATAATATATATATATATATTATATAAAATATATTTTTAGTACATAATACATTATCAAGTCGGGCTCGGGCTCGAGTTGGGCTTTTTTAACAAAACCCGAGCCTGAGCCCGCAGGCCTGAAATCCTATCCAAGCCTGACTTAGATTGGGCCAGGCCGGACTGTCAAGATACCTGGCCCATTAATAGGTCTATACCATGACTGCCACATGGCTACACAATTTACCATTGTGTGATTTGTGATTTACATGAGGTCTTGATTCACCATATTTACGCTATCTATCCTAAAAGTTTGCCATTTTATTTACCAATTGTTTAATACATAATTCACATGCAAATATCACAAATAATAAATTAAAAATAAATATGCTTGATACAAGCATTTGACTTCAGTTGCATATTATAAAGCATCTAAAGTTTCTTCCAATAAAAGAAAAATAAGTTTTTTTCATACTTCTTATAGAGCTGCTACTGGACAACCTAGAAATTATATGAAACCTTCATGGCATTGAGATATGAGCAATTAAGGGTGTCAATATATTGGTTTTCGACGGGATCCAGTTCAAAATCAATTTGGATGAATTGGACGGGCCAACAAGACATATTGGGTTGGACAAATCCAATCCAAAATATTTATTAGATGGGATTGGACATGGTCCATCCGTAATAAATTTATATTGGATTGGATTAAGTCAATATTTAGTCCATTGATATAAGATAAGAACATAGGTGTCAATGGACAGGGTCTGGGTTGAAACCAATCTAAATTAAAACGAATTTGAACAGATTAAATGGTCCACACATTGAATTGGACTTGCCCAAAATGGTTCAAAATATTCATTGGATTGGATTGGACCTGGTCCACTTGTAATGGACTCACATTGGGCCAAATCCAGTCCAATTGACACCTCTATGAGCAATGGATCTGCTATTTGTGATAATTCAAAGTTCTAGTCTAGTTGGAACCATTTATCTATTTGTAGTTCATCGGCAATTTGATTACAACCTCTTATTTGGTACCATTTTTCCAGAAAAAAACATTGCTCCAAACCATGCCTTGGAAATCGGAAAAGTGTGATCATGAAGAAACACCAAATTCAAATGTTTTCTCAGGAAACAGCATGTTGCTGCCAGCAGTGCAATGATGTGGCATCATCTTGGATGTTGGATAATATAGACCAATGCTGGAAACGGTTCCACAACACTGGTAGCAAATAAAACTAGTGTTGTTTTCCTAGAAGACAGCCTATGTGGCAGACAAAAAATGGTGTTTACAACTCAGACATACACATCACCGTTTTCCTAGCACCGATGCCAAACACCTACTATATTTTGGTAAAAAGATGATGCTTCCCATAGATTCTCAATGGAATTAAATTTTTGGGTATTCATGCCCTTTTTCTCTGTTTCTCAATATAAAAAAATGTTCAATTTCAATCTTGGAGATTCTAAGTAGTTTTTTCAAAAGAAAAGAAGTAGCTTAGTTGACTGGATACAGACCTAACCTTTGCCATATTTTGCACAAAGTGGCCTCTCTCATACTTGAAACCACGATCTCACGCTCATCAGCCTGGCATTTTACCAATGACCCTTGAATTATTTACACAGCCAAGTAGGGAAACATGTGTGTTGCACAAAAGATAGATGTCTTTTTTTTTCTTGGTATTAAAGATAGAAGTCCACTGTATGTAGATTTTATACATTCTCTCCTATGGAAGTCAGGTATTTGATTTATATAGCAATAGAGGTTCCTTGAATTTGTTTTTCTAAACTACAAAGTTCTTGGGTTCCTCTACTTCAAAC